ATATTGGATCGGCCTGCCATTGGTCGACTCCTTCTTTTGATTCCCATCTTTCCCGCGCGTGCACCCGTGGGACATCCATGGCTTCTTACCGCCTTTGCGGCTGGAGGAAGACCCGTTGCTCTCACCGGTGTTATCGCGGAGCTTTAGGCGTGCAAGCCATTCCTCCTCCGTGAGGAGTAGACGGCCCTCCTTGTCAACAGTTGAAGTGATATTCTTCTTCCACTGCTCGACGTTACGTAGTCTTCCGGTCACCTCTTCCACTGTTAGGTCGTTCCCGATCACCTCGAGCAAGTCGCGATTTCAATCGTTGCAACATCTTCTTCACGATTTCTGTCTCGCTGATGCCACCACCGAGGGTGGTGATGCTGTTGGCGAGCCCCGTGATCCGCATTGAAAAATCATCGACGGATTCGCCGTCCCCTTAAAGCGAATCTCCGAGAGCTCCTTCCGCAGTTGCTCGATGTACACCGACCAGACGGGATTTGATTCCCTCCCAAGCCGATTGTGCGGTGCGCTTGGTGGAAAGAGAAGCCAGCATCTCTAGGGGCACAGATCGTAATATGGCGGCGAATGCCAGTCGATCCTCCTGGTACTCGATTGTTTCTCCTTCCTCTGGCTCGACAGCGTGCCATAACCCTTCGCCTGTAGGTTGACGCGCATCAAGTCGTTGTCTCCCTGATCACTCGCTCAACGACAACTCGACGCCCGTCATCATGGCGTCGGCCTCTTCGTGGTGGTGATAGAGATGCCAGCACTTGACGGTGGCATGGAGGAGTGAGTGAGCTTGCTCGGGATGGACCCCACAATGTGTTTATTTTCGCCCTTTGCATTTTCTTCTACTCGAACCTGAGACCTGTGTGTTGTTAGGTCGACACTCTAACCACTTGAGCTATTCAACTTGATTGTTAATAGGTTGGCTCTTCTGTGATGGTATACTACCGATCGCTTCAACCTGGCTCTGATACCACTTGTTGACTCTGGCAATTCGGAAGACAGTGTCGACGAAAAATTGGCCGAAGGTTTCTTCGAAGAAAAAATTAGCGGAAGTAAAAGGAGAGAGAGTGAGAGATTCGCTGATAATGCTGAAGACTCGATGTTTTATTTTACTTCAGTTGAACGGTTTAAATAACAAATCTAATTACAAAAACAGAAAAAACAAATATACAAAAATAGAAGAAGTGGACGAAGACTTCGCCCAAATTGCCAAAACAATCGCTCCTAGAATCACGCTTCTCCATTCGCGTGAATTAAGATGTAACTAAATAAGGCATGGCTTTTATTTAACAGTTTAATAGTGGAGACCGACGCATCCGATATTGGATATGGAGGAATCCTAAAACAGTCCCTTGACAAGAAAGAATCCATTGTCCGCTTCCATTCGGGCATATGGAATTCTACTAAAAAAAAATTATTCAACAGTAAAGAAAGAAATACTTTCAATAGTAATTTGTGTACAAAAATTTCAAAGTGATTTAATTAACAAAAGTTTTGTTATAAAAACGGATTCAAGGGCATCAAAATTTGTTTTAGAAAAAGATGTCAAGAATCTTGTGTCTAAACAAATTTTTGCTAGATGGCAAGCCATTTTATCTTGCTTCGACTTTCAAATTTTGCCTATAAAAGGGATCGAAAACCCTTTGGCAGATTACCTCTCAAGAGAATTCTTACTCTCGAAGAAAAATTCTCCCTAACCAATCTCCATTTCCCAGCAATGATCGGAAAGAAAGTGATAGAAAAAGGGAAGAAGCCCAATGCTTCTTCAAGCACACCTACTCCAATGACATCCGACAGCTATGCAATGGATGCTGGTTTCACATTGGTGACTAGATCTAAAGCAAAGCTTTCTCAAGAACAGGCGGAGGTTATTACTCCGACGAGGCCTTCAGCCTCTTCAACACGGCCATCTGCCGTTACTCCATCGAGACCCACTGTCTCTTCCACTTCAAAGGGACCTTCTGTCCCCTCGACCTACTCGGATGCGGTTGTTCCCGTTCGTTTTTCTCCGGTTCCTGAAATCAAAACCTATTTTCAAAAATCTGTGTCCATACCAGAAGCTCTGGTAGGACCAGAATACGACGACCCAAAAATCGGCGAAGTCGTTAAAAAAGCATATCCATCGGGATTCTTTTATATCCCAGAAGGTTTTATGAATTCATTCTAGTCGACACAAAGTCTGTTGAAATTACTCATATTCCGAGTCGCGATGATCCTTCGAAAATCGCGTATTCAAAATTAAAAATTTTTAAAGTCATGAATCCGACGTATTGGAATCAAGATCCATACACGGAAAAGACATTCTCAAAACCTTTTGTTCCTCATTCTTACTCATACAGAGACTATCAGATGGCATGGTTCAATGTCATTTGGTATCAAAACTACGAGCATTCATGGTTCATTCAATTCTGCCAGAATGCTCATAAAATTCATTACCCATTTTGGTTCATCAAATGGTGGAAAATCTTTTATCAGCCAAAGATATATTTCCAGTTCCAATACAAGAATCGTTCCACTATTTCATTCCAAATATATTCAAAATCTCATTTCCGTTGACCATGCGCTTTTGCCTATATTTTCAAATTCCTTGGATTTTAACTTGGAATTTTCAAATTAAAGAGACCGAAGACCAAATAAAACAGGTCTTTAAAATTATCAAAATAAAATGGTGGGATAAATACACTTATACCCACGCAGACATCAAAGCGGTAAAGGTCTGGCTATCTGAGAATGGCCACCTTCAGGATTTATCCAAGAAGAAGACCTCCGAATTCCTTAATTCAAAGTCGAGGCTACTCGCCGCATTAGCCCAGACAACTTCGGAAGCTGATTTTCAAAAGCTTCTTCAAGAAGCCACATCAGTCGGTTCGAAATCTTCTCCTTCTATAATAAAGGAAGAAGATGAAGACACAATCTATGATCTCAATGATCCATTTTTGGATTCACAACCACCTTTGTAGATATCATCGTTAAACTAATTGTAATAAAAAAAAAA